TCAAAGTGTCACTAATACTATTGTATCCAACCATCCAACCATCTATTACAGCCTAAAAATATCCACTCCTTCACTTTTATTTCTCACTCTCTCATTCAAACTTCTCGTTAGATTGCCTCATGGGACAGATTAATTATTGACGGGTTAGCAGATTTTTTTTTGCTTTTTTACCCGACTGCTAATAAAGAGTTATGTTCAGTGGACTTTAATAGAATGTAACGGTAATGATGATGAATATTGTAACCATGGGATGGATTTTGTAATAGTGATTGATATTGTAATAATGATGGATATTGTAACCATGCGGATTAAGAATATACACTGTCCGATATTGTCACGTGGGTGAAAAGGCGACAGAAAGAAACTAACCGGAATATGGGCAGAGATCATATACTCTCTCTTTTCAAATAATGTTTTTCCGAACACTAAAATTTAATTCTGTATCGTGGAGGCAGTTTACATACAAAAAGTTTACAATATAGAACATCCACATCATACTAAGCCGCTGCGCTACAATGCCATCGATCTAGTTAAATATTATGAAATAGAAATAGAAATAGAAACTTTTTTATTCAATGTAGATTATAAAAATACTTATTTAAAGTCACTTTTTTAATTTACCACTGGTTCGCAAAAAAACCTCTGTCCTGGGAAGAACCAGCAAGAAACCCAGCGGGACTATTTTTTTTAATAATAGCTTACAATCATGTTTACAATCAACAACACAAGACAAATTAGAAATAGCTTGGTAGCGATCACCCTTCCCAGGGGTTATTATCATCTATAAATTCCTTAATATTATAATAACCCTTTTTATACAAACTTAGTTTAATAACATTTTTGAACTTTGTGTATGACAAATTTTGTATATTTTCTGGGATTTTGTTGTAAAAGCGTATACATCGCCCCAAGAATGAATTACTGACTCGGTGGAGTCGAGTAACTGGTACTACCAGCTTGTGTCTGCTCCTGGTATTTACAGAATGAATATCACTTATTTTCGCAAAACTACTTTTATTTTTGTGTACGTACATTACATTTTCATAAATGTATTGAGAGGCCAGAGTTAATATATTAATTTATTAAAATTTTTGTCTCAGTGACTCTTTTGGTTTTAAATTATATATTGCTCTAATGGCCCTCTTCTGTAAAATAAATATAATTTCAGTGTCAGTCGCGTGTCCCCATAGCAAAATACCATACGACATAATGCTATGGAAATAACTGAAGTAAACTATTCTAGCTGTTTCAACACTGGCAAGAGTTCTAATCTTTTTTACAGCATATGCTGCAGAACTAAGTCTGCTAGCTAGTTTTGATATATGGGGAGCCATTGAAGCTTTGCGTCCAGTGTGATTCCAAGAAAAATGTTGGTATCAACAAGACTCAGTTCCTCCCCATTTAAAATTACATTAGTATTGACATGTTTAACATTAGGAGTTACGAATTTCATACATTTAGTTTTAGTTCCATTCAAATGCAAATTATTAACATTAAACAAATTAACTAACTTAGCTATAGCATTATTTACTTCGTCGTAATGTTCTTTAAATATGTTGAACTAAATATATTTATTTAAAACTTTATGAATCTGAGCCCGCTAGTATATTCACTTTAATTTTTCGACATCAAAAGTTCACATCGCATAGACATTCTTTACAATTTCCGACATATTGACACTAAATTAAAGCGGAAATTTAATAGAGCGCTTATCGTATGTTAGACTAGATTAAAATGATACTTTTTGTAATTACGTGCTACTAATGAGGTTGCAAAATATCTTTGTACACCTTCATGTGATGTCCTCGTAAGTCTGTAATATCACAAACTGTGGGAATTCATGCTAAAAATGTTTTTATTTAAATTTTTGTTTTATATTGGAGGGTGACGAATGCCACATTCACACTTCTGTACCATTGCTGCTTGTGAGGTGTGCTCTGATATAAAATAATAAGCGGGGGGGGGGAGATTCTTCGTATTTTGTACGTATAAAATTAAAGAAAAATCTCTATGGTTGTACTGTTTATATCTCGTTGGTTTTCCGGTTTTTGCATACAGGATATTAAAGAAAAGAAATATTAAAATAAAATAAAACACTTTCCGCCATATAATTTTTTTCTGTCCGCCAAGATTAGTGAATCTTACGAAAAAATCCTATACATTCTTAGGATTTATTAAAATTGATTAAGATTCAAAAAATCATCTTTAAAAACAAGCTTTTATTTAAATGCTCTAAAAGAAGAAAATGAAACTTAAATCAAATCAAACCCATGAATTTATTACAGTACATAATTGATACGATGTAAAAAGTTGTTGCGAGACTTACTTATCATATAAAACATATTTTTTATAGAATTAACAATGAGCTATTATGCACTACGTACTAGAGGCGACACTGCATTCAGCTACTCTGTTCCACTTCCACTCAACTGCGGTGCATACACCGCACTTTAAAGGTAAGCATCCAACTATCGGCATCGCACGCATTGCACGCATTGCGTCATACGGATCGTAGTATTCTTTTTATAGAAAGTCATACAAGTGCGTCCACAAATCCTTGAAGCAACAGTAGCCTAATGGCAGGGCGCGGATTGCGAACTCAAAAGGTCGTGGGTTCGAATCCGCCATTTGACTACTGTCGTGAATCACTCCTAACACAAGCATTTTCAAGCTTACCAGGAGTGGTTAAAAGGAATATTAGTAATGTTAATTAATAAGATTATTAATATTTAAAAAAATCCGACGCTCATGCTCCGAGGGGCAACTTTTGCGATGCGTGCCGATGACGTCATACGGAATGTCGATCAGTGAACGTACAGCGCGTGCGCTCGCTCCGCGTCGCCGGTCGCCCGCCATTTGCATTTGATGATCGTCGTATCCACATGCGCTGTTGCATCATGGACGCCGCACAACTAATTGTAGTCGTGCAAGAGTATGAAGAGTTATGTAATTTAAGACGCCCTTTTTATTCTAACCAACAAAGAAGGGACAATAACTGGGAAGACATTGAAAGAAGATTAAATAAAAGCGGTAAGTTTGTAGGTTATGTTTATTTTGATTGTTATACATTTTCGTGCCTTCCACTCTGAACTCTTCTTAATTGCCATTCAACCAACCCTACTTCTGAGTTGAAGTAATTTTCGAAGTTATCCCTGACTGTTAAAGCATCTGTGTGTGAATTACCACCTATGTTTCGTAGGTTTTGTAGCCCTGACATTTCCGCAAGAGAAATGTTTAAATCATTTTCTGTCCAGTAGCATGTGTCATCTCTTAGAAAGTTGTGCAAACAGCATATAGCCATTACAACAGTCACAATATGTTCTTCGTGCATAGACAATCTTCGTTCAAAAATTCTAAATGTTCATGCCAATATCTCAATCGTATTTTCTACAGTATTTCTCGCACAACTGAGCCTGTAGTTAAATACTTTTTTTCTTCATCTCTTTGGACATCGTCGCGAGAATATGGTCGTGACGTATGTATGACGTGAGGTATAAGTTCAGTGCCTACTGGTGGGATCTTATGTGGAGGTATGTTTAAAGTGCCGTTCTGTAAACCTTTGCCTAAACTCGAATTTCTCAAAATACTGGCATCAAAGTTTTTACCAAAAGCACCGACATCTACTACTATGAATTTATAATTTGCGTCAACTAAGGCTAACAATACTAAACTAAAGTGTTTTTATAGCAAAAGTAATTTGAGCCACTGTGTGGTGGTGCCTGAATAAGCACGTGTTTTCCATCAATAGCAGCGATCGCGTTGGGATAATTCCATTTTTTATGAAAACCTTTCTGATTTAATCCACAACTCTTCAATAGGTTTTGGCATTACTATGGGCTGTAGGTGTTGAATAATGGCTTCGCAGGTTCTTCATACTGTTCGCTCACCAATCTTGAAGGAAAACGACAGTGATCGAAAAGAGTTCCCAGTGGCTATGAACCTGAAACAAAAACATATATTTAGGTACTTATTTATTGTTACAGGTAATGCATGCAAGGAGCGATGGACCAGAATTAGAGATAACCATAGGAAGGCTTTGAATTTGAAAGACAAAAAGCGGCCAAGCAGCATCACAGATAAAAGCTCCTGAATTCTCACAAGAACTTTCTTATCTAACAACGTATCCAAACGATGAGGAAGAACGGCGTTCAAACCTGTCACCTAGAAGTACCAACAATAACGAAGAAACACAACTTGAGTCACTGAATGAATTAGGTTATGCAGATAACAATGTATCAAGCGATGCATAAAGTGAACAATCCATGCAATCCTTGAGATCATCACGATTTATCCGTAAGAAATCGAGCTTCGCAACTTCACAAGCTTCACAAGGCCAAACTGCAGCCAGCGTTCTACAAGATTACTTAACAAGGGCGGCCGAAACCAGAAACCAGAGCGATCTTCTTCTCGATTTTTTCATAAATATGGCAAAAACAGTAAAGACTTTTCCTTTACAAGACCAAGTTAACATTAAATCTCAATTATTTAAAATGGTTAACAACGTAGAGGTGAGGCTTGCGACTACTCCAATAGATCGTGTTTCTGACCCTTAGACATCTGGTTCTAACGTGAGAATAGTTTAAAATGTAATGCTTAGTCCGGCACCGACTGGTTCGAATTCAAGGTTTCCTCAATCGACTTCTTCAAATACAGCGATGTTTGCTGCACCTGCTATGAACGAAACTCTTCATATTCTGCTCTGGAACCTTCGATAGTGTATGCATGGTCATTTACACCCAACGAAAGGCCAATGATGTCTCCACCTGACACTAGCCAATCCATTTTAGAAGATAAAAATAATGTGACACTCGGCCAATATTTACGTCTTAAATAAGTGCCTATCTAACTACCTATATATAACCGATGTTTAATTTTAATAAATAATTACCTTATACACACAGCAAGCATTTTTTCTGGTCATTTAGTCTCCCTGTATGCTGTATTCTGTCTTAATAAATGTGGTTTCAGGATTTCAACAAGAGTATTAAATTTAACTTGAGTCATGCTTTAAAATATTGGAAGAATTTGGCATCATCGTTTAGCAGATCAGGAAACAGTGTGTGATATTCTCCATGTTGCGACCTTTTCTTGAAAATATTGTGTACCCAGATATTATGTTTCCTTTTTCTAGAGTTCTTAGCTTTTTCTTCCTCTTCTTCAGCTAACAAACAAGCAATTGCGATAGTTTCTTCTTCGTTTTCTTCCATTATCTCACAAACAACACGTCAACACGTACCACTTGCCACTAAAATCCGTATAAAAATGACGTCGGCAATCCGATTACTAGAGGTTGCGTCAGAAAATGTGATCGGTGCCGATACAGTGGACGCATAGTACAAAACTGGTCTGTTTGATGCGATGCGTGCGATGCCAATAGGTGGACGCTTACCTTAATCAGTCACCCGCTATGCGCTTGTAGAGTTGTTACGTGTTGTGTTGATTTAAAAAAAATCTCTTGATAAAAATATACCGTCGTGTGTACTTAGTTATTGCACAAATAATTCAAGAAATGTCAGTAAAAACCAAGGAATTACTTTTCATCGGTTAATAAGATACTTAATCAATAAAAAAATTATTATGTATTTATAATAAAAAAAATTACTCCTAAGACACCATCTCGTGTCATGGAATATAGATTATGAAATTAATATGTTCAGATGTGACATTTCTGCGGGTACTTAAGTATAGGACGAATATATTATTATACACATTTTTTGTAGAAACATATATAAGTTAGTTAGTATATATTTGTATATATGTAGGGATAGATCATATACGTGTAGTTTATTTATTAGTAGTTTGTATATATTATGTAGTTAATTATCATTTGTATTGTGTTCTCTTGCTCTATATTGCCACACCTACGTCAAATTCTCACCACTCCATGGGTTGACTGGTAGAGAATGCCTCATGACATTAAGTCCGGCCTTTGTATTCTTTTGTTTAAGGATGTAATAAAGAAAAAAAAAATAAGTAAATAAATAAGTTATTATAATTTGAAAAAAATTTCATGTTTAAACCTGCTTATTATTCTTTTATTTTATTTTTAGGTTTCCACATCAAAGTCAAAGTGGTATAAATTCGTGTTCATTTTTAATTCTCGCGTGCCCAGCATTTATGAACTACATTTATTCTAATTTAAATAAATATATTTGTAATTTAAATGTTATGTTAATAAGTTTTGTTAAACATACATTTAGTATGTTTGTTATATTTGACTTAGATACCTTTTAAAATATTCAGATAAAAATATCATTAAAATGTAATTGTGATATAATATTATATTAAATAAGCAAATATAATATACAAAATAAATGACAAAATGTAAAAATTGTTCTCGATATAATTTACCTATTTAAAAATACAATATCTTATTACCTACGGATCATTCTACTTTTATTCTATGATAAAAAAAACAACCGCGTGAATACAGAGTAGCGCACATTTTTTGTTTGAGATAGCTGTTCTAGTGCGTAAGTATATATTACTTCAATGAGAATTAACTACTTATTTCAAAATTAAGCTACATACTGTATTCTTGTTTATGCACACATGTAAATGTCGTGACAATCTTTATATCATAATAATTGTGTATTGTGGTAAATTGATGGGTTTGATTTAATTTAAAGTTTTTTTTTTCTCTTAGAGAATTTAAATAAAAGCTTGTTTACAAAATTTATTTCTCACTACGAATTTATTGTCTAATTTTAGTTTTTCCATCTCATTTTGATACACGTTTCTAATAAGACATGATTCTAATTTTATTTATAACATTATTTGCTTTATTTATGGTATTTGATGGAGAAGTTGACCCTTGTTCTTCCTTACATTTCTTCGAGCATCATCAAACTATCCTTAAGCTTTGTCTAGTATAAGTCTTAAAAATTGATATGGCGGCTATCTTGTTTTCCGCCATTTTGATTTTTTTCACCACCGCTAGAATTTTCCCAGAGTGGAGATTAATATTAGTTAAACACGAATCCGCTTAGTCTTACTGTTTAGCCTGGCAGTATTACACCATATCCTTGAAGAACTGAACACGGACGTCATTTTATTCGTATTCTTCTCAGCGAACAAAGGGATCATCTTACTATTATCATTTGAATTCAAATGTTCATTTGATATTCATATCATGTGGATGTATAAACAACATAGTCCACCAGATTTGGGAGTCCACCAAAATGGATAATTAAGAGTGACGTAATCAACTAAGAGCGGCAAAACTATTGCCTTAAATCTCTACTGGAAACAACTAATGAGAATTAATCAAGGAAACTGAGAAAATACGGACGGAGTTGATCAACAGAAAACGTCTTTCATCATGACAACGTGAGACCCCACACATTTTTGGCCACTCAGCAAAAATTTGAGAAAGCTTGGCAGGAAAGTTTTAATGCATCCACCATATACCTTAGTCCTAACCTTGCACCCTCAGACTTTCACTTGCTCTGGTCTCTTCACAGTTCTTTGGGTAGTGTTAGGTTAACATCAATAGAGGACTGTCAAAACTACATATATATATACTTTATATATAAAACACGAAGAAACTTTTCCCCCTATCTTTTAATAATAATAGTCTTTATTGATTTCTTCCAAATAGTACATTGGATAATTTTAGATTTTGGAGCTTATCAGCGTATAGCGAACCCAAGCTGACCAATTCCAATAAGTAGCAACTGTTCACAAGCATGACATATACTTCAATTAACAATGGATCTGGTACCGTTCGGTATATATTATTTTTTGTTAACTGGCTGGTACCCGTCGCGTCGCTGAAGCAGACGAAATAATTTTGAAAATATTGTTTTAAATTTAGTAAAGTTATATTATGTTTCAGTAAGGAATGAATATACATTCATTTAAATTGAATGATATATCTCTATTTATTTATTAATTTATTAAATATTTTTGTTGCACCTTACCTATATAATATACCATACAAAAATTACAGATTATTTATACAAAAGAAGTATGCAATGTGCGGTCTTATTTCTTTTTAAGTACCTACATAAAGTTAAATAAAATTGTCGGTTTCGTACTGACGCGTGCTACCTGCTGTTTAGTTAATTTTAGTATGTCTATAACCTTCGCGCATGTGCAGGCAATAAGTTGATTATGTTTTATCGCTATCTGGTGGACGGTATTCCTACGCCGAAAATACGAACGAACAAACATAAATTTTTATATATTGAAATAAGTTATAAATGACGTAAAATACTAAGTTTCTTACATCAATTTTTCTTCTGTAAAAAGAACCTTATTTTGAAATGAAATTAATGACACTTAACCAACTAAATTTTTTACGTCAAAAAAATAATAATTTTTCATTTCATAACGTTCTCAAATTGGCAATTCTTGCCAAAGGCCATCGAGTAGAAAATACGTTGTGACTCTCACTTTAGAGCTTTTTAATTACTTCTTTAAAGAAAATAATTTACATATTTGATATAATTTGATTTGATTTGCTTAATACAATTTGAAATAAACGATCACAATAAAGTACACTTAATCAGTCTATATCTATATAGAATTTTGACTTGCTACTTGAAAGTTCATCATGAAATTTCAAGGGGCTTTACATTTTCTCTAGTGCTTCTTATTATAAGTTCAGGTAGTCTTGCAATAGCTGTGAAGTTTTATTATACTATTTCTTCGAAGAGTAGCTGAGTTTTGGCGTACTGGCTATAGATGTGGAAAATATACATGTTACATATCAATGCACTCAACCACATCGAATATTATTAATATTAGCCTAAGAACTGAATCTAAGTTGAGCTGGCCAGCTTACCTTACTGTTTTTTTGTAATATAAATAACCGTATGTTTTTAATGAGTACTAGTAATACTATTAACATTACTTATACTTACCTAAAGTTACCATTCCAAGTAAGCTTAAAATGCTTGTGATACAAAATGACATGGTTTAAGACATTAATCAAATTGCAGGTTCAAACCCACGAATTTCCAAGTTTGTGAGTTTTTTTTTTAACTAAAACTTCGAGGTTAAAATTCAAAGAGTAGTTACATATATATTTAGGCGGTGACAACTAGATGTTACAAATTGCGAATGGTCAATGTGATGGTTTTAATTCTTTCGGTTAAACTAGGTATAATGTAGATCGAATAATAATTACAACTAGTAGTTTTTTGTTTATCAAGTAAGCTGTATTAATTAAGCTTTCAATTACGTATCAACATAGAAAACATATCTAATATATAAAATGATGGTACAATTTTTGTATGAATTTTAAAAGAACTAGCATGTTGGCAATAACCACATTTCCGGGGATTATTTTCATTCATATATTACTTGACATTATAACAACCATTTTTGTACAATTTACTTTTAATAAAATGTTTAAACTTGTTTATTGACAACCTTTGAAAATTTTCTGGGATGTTGTTGTAAAAACGTATCCATTGCCCCATAATTGAATTACTAATTCAGTGGAGTCTAGTTACTAGAATTTCAAGCGTATGTTTGTTTCTAGTGTTTGAACATCATTTTTCTTCTCCAAACTATTTATATTTTTATGTACATGTATTACGTATTATATTGCAAAGCCAAAAATGAAATTATCTCTTTGCCTATGAAATTGCCGTTTTTATGAAACAAGTTAACGTATTTTTTTTCTATATTTATTATTTCTTTTGGTAAAAGTAATCAACCATGCATTCGATGCGTTTCAGCCAACGCAGTAGCAGTTTATCCACCTTCTTGAAGGAATCAGCTGGACGGAAGGCGACAAATTCTACAAAGGCATATTGTACTGACTCATGGGTATTGAAATATTTTTCAAAAAGGTTATCCAAATTGTAGAAAAAGTAGGAGTCCGTAGGCTCACGTTCACGTAGGCTGAATTTGGCGGATAACGGAGAACTTGTAATTCCAGCTATTGTAATTTAGAGCCGTCAGTTGTGCAGTATGACGTCGCGCGTTGTCGTGTAGCAGTGGGAACAAGGGGCTACACTACGGATTGGCTAAAACTTGTTGGAGACATGCGAGCTTCTCCATTATTGTGTTCAATTCTTCACAGTACCACATATTTGCAGTAATGCTCATCTCGTTTGGTAAGAAGCTGTGATGAATCACATCGGTGCTAGCACACCAAACAGTGACCATCACTTTTCTAGGTGGAAGGTTTTCGTTTAGGGCACTGAACCAGGATCTAACCAACTTGCTGAGCACTTGCGCTTGTTAAACAGAG